ATATATATATATATATATATATATATATATATATATATATATATATATATATATATATATATATATATATATATATATATACATAGACATTACACATTTTTTCAGAGTTACAAAATCTTTAAATTGATTCAGAAATATCAACATTAGATTAGAGAACAAGGTTGATACAGCTCTCCTTGGTGCAGTCCAGATTTCCATATAGCACCATTTCCTAACAGTTATAATCGCCAGGTAATACCAGAATTCAATCAAGTCATGAAGAGAGATTTAAGGTCACTTGAATACATCTTGAAATGCTCCTAGCTATGAAACATGCAGTCAAGTGAAGTTATTCAAATTGGTTAAAAAAATGAATCATTGAAAGAACCCAGATGAATGTATGTTGTATGTAAACGATGACAAGCAGATAATGCATCGATTTGATAATAAAAAATGATAACTTTAGTGAAATCCCTTATAGATCATACTTAGTGACTGCAGAGAGGAAAACGCTCCTTTTAAAAGACGAAACCTAAAGCAGATGCGTCTCAGTGTAAACAGCTATATCTGCAAATGTTTATTAATACAGAGCATACATACAACAAAAAAAATAACAACAAAAACAACAGAGAAGAAATGCTACACAACAACATTTTATGTTAAAGAAAAAATAGTAAATAACAGTAGGGGCTTCATCTTGAAGAGAGACGGTTAAACACAGAAAGCTAAATTTATTTTCAAAGGCAAGACTATCTTAATTTATTATGAATTACTTGTTAAAATGTTATAAGGAACTTCCTGTGAAAATGAGAAAATGTTTTGTAGGCAGTTAGCCCTCTGCATGGGCTATATTGGAGTTTGGAGGATAATAAAGCGCTGTGGTTTCAGGATTGGAAATTAGTAAGCAATTCTTGCAAAAATAGTTTTTACACAGTGAGTAAAGCGATCTGAACACTTTCGGTAGAAAATGCATGTTTTTATGGACCTTTTATTGCTAATAGCTGAAGCTCGTGTTGGTCACTGAGCAATTAGCAAATCCTACTGGTTGGCCAGCTTTCAACTAAAAACCTTAAATTGGGTGATTTAGTTTGATTTAGCATGATTGCTATAGTTTAACAGCTCAGTTTAGCAGATTAACTTTTTTCCAGATATTTGTAAACTTTTCCAGCTGATTTCACAGTAAAGCAGCACAGAACTGTTCTATGTTTACGTTGAAAAATCTGGACACAGAAACTTACTTAAAGCCCAAACATTATTCTAATTGAGGGAACAGTTTTAGACTAATTGAAACGCTGCATCTGTGGTTTGCTTTTGGCTTACATGGATCTCAGATTATTGGCATGCGTGTGTGTGTGTGTGTTTACATGTGTATCAGATCCCATTTGTCCATTAGGCTCCCTTGCTTCTCTTTCTTGGTGTTGTTGAAAAACCAAAGTGCTGTTTAAGGCTGCAGACTTTGCCTGGTTAGAAAAGGAAAGCCCCACTGGTGAGAAAGGAAGAAGGATGGATTGCTGCGCTTTGCTAAAAAGAATCAGATTGTACAGTCTGATTGCAACGGAAGAGGATTAGGGCCACTGGAAAAAAAAAAAGTTTACTGATTTAAAAATTTTATTTCAATTTAGTATTAGAAAAAAGTCAGAATTCTGACTTTAATCTCAGAATTCTGACTTTAAAATCAGAATTCTGACTGAATTCTGACAATAAAAAAAGTCAGAATTTTGAGAAAAATGTCAAAATTCTGAGATTAAAGTCAGAATTCTGACTTTAAAGTCAGAATTCTTACAAAAAAAGTCAGAATTCTGACTTTTTCCCATACTATACTGAAATAAAATAAAAAAAATCAGTTAAATTTTTTTTTTCCAGTGGCCCTAATCCTCTTCCGTAGATTGCCACTCAACTCCTGAACTACAAACATTTTAGCCAGAGAACTACTGGATCTACTGGATCTTTAAACATGACGAAAGGAATGAATGCTGGACGCTGTTTACAGAGACTTTTCCTTTTTACATAATGACTGAAGCTTTTTTCTGGCTGCAGAAACACATTTTCTACTTTTGTACATATTTTCTACATTTATTAAGGTTCAAGGAGGGCATCTGCAATGGTAGTGACACAAAATGTACCGAACATCAATCTGTTGGAGGTTAATCAGTGCAAAACCAGGGAAGAAGCTGCTTTATGACTTAATACATAGCAAGCTATCTATAATAAATTCTAACAGGCAACTCATCTCATTAGCTGGAATTTCAGTTTCCATTTGCATTCCCCAAGTTAAATGCAGATTAAAACCTTTTTTTTTTTCATGTAAAAGAATAAAAAATATCCTCCCATAAGATGTCAAAGGCATAATAAAGTATGTAAATAAAGTGAGAGAGAGGATGCAGTGTTCCATGACTCATTTTGGGGTTTTGTTTTCATTTTCCAGCAACATATATCGTGTGATGTAACATTTGCATGAGTCTGACTGAAATCAACATGGCCATTCCTCCAGGAGTCTCCCTCCTCTGATCGTTTGAGTCGCTGAGGCATCAGGGTACCTACTGACCACTTAGCTGGCCAGCCTCGTCGATAACTCTTTATAAAGATCAATTAGGGCGATCAGTGGAGAGAGCGCCGCTGGGGTCGAGGTGCCACATCGAGCGGTTTCTGTGTGATGATGTTTCACGCAGCGCTTTCCCACAGAAAGAGTCTCACCCCCTCAAGACATCAGACTTCATTAAAGGGGCGTTCTCTTCAAACTGGAGCCATAAAACCTGCAATAAACGACTTTTCTCTTCTTCCATCCCTTTAAAAGGAGGGGAGGTCTGCATAGTCTCCAGCTATCAGTCTGTTTAAAAAGAGCTGTGACAGAAGAATGGAGCTAACACAGAGTAACCGTGTAGCAGTGATGTGAAGTCAGCCACCTTTGCTTTGATACCCTGAAATAAAATCTGGTAAAGCCGATTGCCTTTGATTGCTGTTAGCAGAACTACCAGACAAATGAGAGCGCCCACCACTGCAAAAATGTTACGAAAATGTGTTAAAATTTCCTAAAATAAGTGTATTTACCCTTAATATGAGTTGGAAAACAAGATCTGCCACTGGAATATATCTGAATATAAGATAATTAGATATTATGCACTTGAAATAAGTAATTTTTTTTCTTATTTTAAATGTAAATTGTCTTATTCCATTGAGAGAGAGTCTTTCTTTCTTGCTCAGTTTAAGAAAACGTAAACTTAGTTTATGAAAAATTGACTTACTCAGATTTCCATTTTTTTTAGAGTGCACAATGTAATTTTATGCATATTTTCCAGCTCCAAGCTTCATGCCTATTAAATCTAACAATATCTGGTGTTTGAAGGATATCATTACTCTGTACTTAGATGTACATAGTTATTGGAGAGCTTATATTCATTCATTAAATCATTTAAGATACAGTCGTACTTCTCTTTGGCAAAGGTGGTGAAATGGATGGATATTAAAAAGTGCTTAAGCTTGACACTAGGGAGGAATCGTGTCTTCCAGCAGGACGACGGCCCAAAACAAAGCATAATTCCAGAGAATAAATGGTTAAGATTTTGTGCAATGTATAATATTTATCCATCTTTGCAAATATGCACTTCCTTGAGCTGATCCTAAAAAAAAAAAAAAAATGTCAACACAATTTTTTCCTGTTTTTTGTAGATTTTTAAAGGTTTTACACATTTTATAGCCTGAGTGGCTACAACCTGCTGTCTTGGGTTCATTTGGTTATTCCATCCACTTCACAATTGAGAGGTTTTCACTGTCCCACTTGTGCTGGATATAGTGATAAATGTGGTTGTCATGACACCAACTCTAACCAATGAGCTCACAGCATTGCATCTGTCTGACAGGTGACTGACTGCTTGGTGGGCTGACCGTTCACTGCCTAACCTTTCTTTCCTTGCTGGTTATTAATCCACTTCCCTTGTCCCTCCATCACAAATTAACCTCTCTCTTCTTCTCCCCCCCCTCCCCTTCCCTTATCTGTCTCTTTCTGTCCATTTCCTTTCACAACCCCGTCCTTTGTTGTTTCTCCCTCTTGCAGCAAATTTGTTCACGTGAAAATTATTGATGATGAAGAGTATGAGAAAAACAAGAACTTCTTCCTGGAGCTGGCTGAGCCTCGCATGGTAGACATGAGTCTGCAGAAAGGTGCGGTACTGAACTTCTTTCTCTCATTCTCGCTCTCCCACTTTTACTTTCTTCTGCACTTCTGCAGCACTTCTTTGTCTAATTTCTGTCCCCCCTTTACCTGAACCTTCATCTCGTTTCCATTTTTCTGCCCTGCTCCTTTGTTTCTGATTCAGTGGAACTCTGACTTTCCTTTCAGAACTCAGTTCTTTCATATCAAATCAGAAACCTGCAGTAGAATCACATCATTTTCTTCTGTATGAAAGACTCCCCAGACGCCATTAGCATCTGCATAAAAAAGCAAAGATTGTCTAGATGTCACCTTTATGTATGCAAAGAAGCAAGAACCAAATATATAGGAAGGCGTTACTTAAAGGCATGAGTTATTTTCAGCTTCAGAGACCTACTTTGAATGATTTCCCCTGAAAAGGGATTATTGGTTTAAATTTGCAATGAGAGAAATTATTCACCGAACTCCTCAAACTAAGACTTTTGTCAGGCTAGAGATTATAACCCAAATATACTCATTTAACAAAAAAATAAAAAGTACAGCTCAATATTTTGCACCATCACAGATTTTTTGCCTTTTTGTAAATACATTAGAACTTCAAATAAATTTCAGTAATTTTAAACCCCCTGGTATAATATTAAAGACCATTTTAGGGAATGAAAAATCGACTTTCTACCTATGGTTTTATTTTTTTAGGGGAAAAAGCTACACCAATCTCAAATGACAGAACTATGTTTATTTAAAAAAAAAGGTTACGATGTATAACGCTTTTAACAACAACAGTGTCATGTTGGGACCAAGGTTTCAAACCCGCATGCAGAACACACGGACTCAGAGGAAAAAGTTCAACAGTTTATTGAAACACAATGAGAATAAAGTACTGATGCTTGGAAACAGATCCAGGACTGGTCACAACAGGGTTCTCTGTTCAGTGATTTTGGCTGAGCGGCAGAGGGACGGAACCAGGAGGGTCCAGAGGCAGAAGGTAGGCAGAGGGCTAGGCAGAGGCAGGGCTTGACTTCAGACTTTGCAGTGTTCTGATCTGAGTTACTTTCCAGTTCTCTTCTTGAGAGTGGGCAGGCAGGTTCAGACAGTTTGACTTTCCAGGGATCTTCTGAGATCAGACAAGCTGGTTTCTGCTGAGAAACTCTTCCAGAGTTCCTAGGGTTCAGTCAGGTTCTTCCTAGGAAGCAGAGAGGACAAAAACAAGTTAGGTTCTGGTTCAGGTTTCAGGGGAGTCAGAGAATCAGACAGGTTGGTTGGCTCAGGCTTGCTAACCGTAACTGGCTTAACACTCTGGCACTGGAGTGTTGCTCTGCCACTGCTTAAATGCTGGTCTCCCGATGAGCAAACGAGCCGCAGGTGTGGGAGTCAGCTTCAGCTCCAGGAGACCTAGGGCGCCCTCTGCTGGAGAAAGGTGGACAGACCTCCAGATCCCAACAAACAGATGGTTTAAAAATGTATGACACAAAACCCCCCGATATAATCAGTGCACAGCCATTTTTAAATCCGGGCTTACACTGTACGATTTTTTGCACTTTTTGGGCCGACTTTCCAGTCGTGCGAGAATTTTTCAATCGGGCCGACTTTCAGCCTGATCGTGCGTCGGGCATCGTCTAGTGTACAGGGGGTAATTGCATTTTCATGTAGGGCCAGGTTGTAATGCCTGGACAGAATCTGGAGACATGATAATTCAGGCGACACTGGAATAAAGCGTCAAAGAATTCATTCCAAAGTAAGCTGGTGTCACAGGAACTGACTGGAACTGGAATCCCTGTAGGGAGGTTGAACAGAGTTAGTGACCGAGAACAAATCCGGTGTTGAAGGTGCACTGAATGAAATCCACTAACCATCGCAGAAGCCAGGAGGAAGCACAGGCTCTGATGATTGACCCCTGTGGCTCTTTTGGGATGATTTGGATCACTGATGACTGATCCAAATCCTAATAGTGCTAGACAGGGAGGGCTAACGCTAGCGGGGGGAGTCGCAGACAGTTCGAGGGTCATGCACAGAGAAGCAGTCCACAGGGCAGAGGTTTCCATAATGGCTAGCAGAGAGGGAAATCTGAAATCAAGACAAAATAATCTGTAACATGAGACACACTGACCAGAGGAACAGAGACAGGAGGAAGATCTGAGGTTCAGGCTTGAATCGTTCAAAATTCGATATAACAATCGAGATGCAGGTAGAAGCAAACAGGTGAGTCTAGGCATGAGGTTGGTGTCCAGAGGTCTGAGCTAACAGGGGCGTCCGACAGGGGCAACGCAAGCAGGAGGAAACAGAAACCAGACAGTTGGAGATCAGGAGATTCTACCATAATGGCAGGATGGTCTAGTCCAACTAACAGCTTTCAGGTCTCTGCTGGTTACCCACTGGGAGAGCCAGGAATATTTAGCTGCTCCCAGATGCAGCAACTCCCAGTAATTAGAGCTGCAGCAGATGTAACCGCTCAGACCTCATTGGCAGTGCAGCAGAGGGAGCAAACATTTACCACGTTTACATGTCCTACATGCTGAACTGTCTTTGGTATTTCAGTTTAGGACAATTAAAAGCAACAAACACTGACCATAACTAAAAAAACATTTCCTACAGGTCTTTTAAAACAGATAGATGTCAAGGAGCATCCTGTTTACTGATGTAAACTTTGAAAGGGGAATACAGCACATTTATCAAAAGCCCCTTTTCTACTAAAAGCCCTGCGATTTAAAGCCCCAGGATTTAATTTTCCTATTATTCACACCTTTAGTCCAGCAGATAGTTATTATAAGAACGCTGCTGAGTTGGATTGTGGGAGACAGTAAAGGTGTAAAGGAGGAGTAAGCTAAGTGATTTCTGTTCAGACAGAGTGTGGGACATAAATAGGTAACGTCAGCTGAAGCTGCGCGGGATACATACCGGTGGTCAGGGTTTAGTCTCCAAGGGAAAGGAAAACGAGGCTTTGTGTGCCGTTTCCTTTTTTCCTCTCTTTTTTAAAATACTGCCCTGAAATAACTATTTGTAGGTAATAAAGGTACGATGAAACATACAGTTTTGAGTAACCAGGAGGTAAAAGTTGCCTTATATTTACTCACAAACACAACATACTGTAAGTTTGCTGTACAGAATTATTTGCTATGCTGCTTTTTCACACCTTTCAGTTTCATTCTAAAGCGTTGATTGAAACCGGCAACTCAAATGCTTTCATGTATTCTCACCGTGTAATAATCACCCTTTACATATCCTAACTAAATAAAATAGATTGTGACAAGACGTCCATCTTTTGGAACATGAAACATAATCTAGATGGAGCTGCTGATAAATTAATTGGGTTAGCAACAGAAGCCGCAGCAAAACTATTTGTGTTGCTTGGTAATTGTGTGTTTTTGGTTATATGTTTTAAATAACAGGCTTTTTTGTCTATTTTGATAATCACACACCTTTAATGCTCAGCCTGAACTAGTAGTTGCAAATTTTGAGATATAGCATAACGCGGCATCTGTTGGCGCATGTAACACAGACCCATGCGCACTTTAAACTATATTTTAACATACATGGTTCCTGCATAACAGAGGGCAGATTAATATGATGTGGTTGTATGATGTATATGATGTATAGTATCCATACTGTAACAAAAGATCATTTTATCAGCATCATCCTTTCCTATCTCTGAAAGATACGGTTGAAGGTTAAGGAAGTGAATTCCTGGTCTAGAAGTCAAGGACCCAATCCATGCAAAATGTACTGAGTCACATTAGTTGTAGTTTTGTTCTCTTGTTTATCTTTAGACAGATCGGTTTGGTGTGTTTTAAGCCAGAAAAAACAATTCCATTGCTTTTGGGGACTAACTACCTAGTGTTTGTCAAGCTTGAGACCTTGGACCCAATATTCAAACAGACGGATCTGGATGAGTTCTAACAGTCTTTATTAATCAACTGAGTGCGGCTGCTCGTCAGCTGGAGCGGATAAACCGGATCCTCTGGGTCAGAGTTCAGTCCGATCCCAGAGGGATGTGAGGAATCCAGGAAGGTGATTTTCCTCCGCTTGCGGTGGGCGCCGCCCCCGGAGCTCTGTGTGATGAGCGGAGCTGATGCCAACCGACGCCCGGAGCAGCTGTGTCCAGAAGGGGAAATCCAAGCGTAACAGAACCAACTTCTGTCATGGTCCTGGTTCTGTTTACTTTACTTTGCTCCTTGTTTTATTGGTTTAATTCCTATTTTGTTGTACTTTCTAGATTTATTTTAGTTCTCAGGTTTTTCTGTTGTTGTCCTCTGTTGCCCTCTAGTGTGTGTTCCTTTCCCCTTGGCTTCCTCGTTGTCTCCTCTCACACCTGCTCCTTATCAGCTCGTTAGCCCTGCCTTGGTCTCAGTCAGCTATTTATACTCTCCCTCTGCTGTCAGGCTTTGTTGGTTCCTTGTTGCTGCTGGTCCTGTCGTTGCTGTTGTCTTCTCACCTCGTCTCTCCATGGCTCCTTGTGCGTGATGTCTCCATGGTTCTGGTCTGTGTTACATTTTAGTTGGAATCTTGGATTCCTGCTTTTGTTAACTGCTTTCATCATTAAAAGTAAAATGCTGCGTTCACACCGGACGCAGCAGGCGCGACAGAAGCAGCGAGTTTACATGCAAAGTCAATGATTGACACGCGTCTAGGCGCAGCAAAAGGTCCCGCAGCGCGTTTT